CTAATATGTGCTCTCAAAAGAAGACCATGATCTAGAGCTGGCCCCTCTCTCAAGTGAAACAATTGTCTTCAAAAATGAAGCCTTCACCTTGCCTAACAATACAACCGATCAATAATTAATAGAATTTAGCCCCAGCCTTCAATAACTCACTCTCTTTTAGTAAGTGTTAAGTACAACAAAAGCAACTTGCGTTTGTAATAATGTGGGGAAGCATTTTGGAGCACTTAATAGTGTCAGAGTTTGATAGCGAGCCGGGGGGAAAGGCAAGTGATACGGTTGAAAGGAAAGGCTTCAGACGTAATCTATATTGTTTTAATGGCACAAGAAGAAACCACTTGAAACAGAAATAAATTTGACAGAGGCATATTTAAATGATGAGTTTAGGAGAGCGAAACAATAGATTAACCCTAATCAATGCCTTGGGACATCCTCCCAACGTGAAAGGCGCTATACAAATGTAATGTTGTTGTTGTTGTAGATTAACACAACAGACTTTGTAATCATCTTACATATACAAACAGCTTTAAAGGTAGGTATGTCAATAGGTAGATAAGTTTTATTGATCAGCCAAGTGATTGATACATGCGGAAACCCATCACCATGTTTAAGAGCATCCAAACTAGATAGAGTTCTACATATGTATGCCACGCATGGAAATTTCCTTGTGTCTGAAGGAAGAGAGACAATACAGCAGATTGAAAACACCCAACTATAAAACACGTTTAATAGCTTCCACAGACAAATTGGGATGTTTTTTCTCCAAACATCTATCAGATTGGCCAGATAATTTCATCCCCTCTGAAGCCATGTTGGGTGTCACTTTGTGAATTATTTCCATGTCAATATTTCATGTTTTGTTTCTGTTAATTGTTTCCATTGGATTTCCAATTATTGACACCAGACTTAGTAGGTCTGTTGTTGTCAGATACAGCTTTGCCATCTTTCTTTAATTTGAGAACCACATTTTGTTTGTTTTTAGTTGGTTGGAACTTCCCCAGTGTTCAACATCTGTCAAACGATCAGTATTGCATCATAAATTTCTTTTCTCATCTCTCTAAGCCCCCCATTTCAGGAATGTATTATGTGTCAGCCCTTCGAGTCTCTCCAGAACCTCTGCCTTGCTAATTCCAAAGTTCTTAGAGCTGAAATAAAACATGTTGTATATTGTTAATGCCCTCTCTGGTAAAATACATCAAGAAGTAATCACCTTTGTTTTCCTTTTTTCAGCCCATTATGTTTTAATTTCCTCCCCCTCCTCTCTTGTTGTGAGAATTTTCTACGCTATGGAGTCCCATAGTGTAGTGGTTGGCGCGCTCGCCTTGCAAGTGAGAGGACTCGTTTCCGATTCCCAGGCAGGACAAAACCTTAAGCAAGTTTCCTTACTCCACATATCTCTGTTTACCTCTGTAAGTAGGAATCCGATTGATAGGTGAATCACTTTCTAGGGGTAATAATTCCCCCCCACCCACCAAATGTTTTTTAAAAACATTGTCCACTCACTCCATGACAGCTTGTGGGACATTGCTGTGTGCAAGTGGCTGCCATGTTTCGCCCATAACTACAGTCAATTCTGTCCATTTTGGTGTCGAAGGCACCAGAGAGGTCAAGGAGGATGAAGAGGCAAACGGAGCCCTTGTCGCAGATGGACAGAATGTCATTTGGCACTTTGACCAAAGTGTGCTTTGGGCAGCATGGAAACCCAATTGGAGGGTGAAGGGAGTGGCAGGAGAGGAAGGAGCAAAGCTAGGAAGCAACGATTCATTCCAAGACCTTGGAAAGTAAAAGGAAGTTGGAGATGTTTGAGAGCAGGGATAGTCCAGGGACGGTTTTTTAAGGATAGGAGCGATGACGGCCGTTTTTAACGATGCAACAATGGTGTCAGTGGACAGGGAGAGGTTTATGATGTCTATGAGTAGAGGGGCAAGGAGGTGGAGGTGAAAGGTAAGGAGAGGGGTAGGGATGGGGTCGAAGGAGCAGATAATCAGTTTCATGCAGGTTATAGTGATGGTGAGTGAGGAGTGAGACACAGGTTTGAAGGTGTGGAGGGAAGGATGGATAGGTACCAGGGTGTGAGGTCAAATTAGTGAGGGGGTAGTAGATGGAAGGGCAGAGGCAGCTGAGTGGATCCCCCCGACTTTGGTTTCGAGGAAGTCCAGCATCACCTCACAGTTGGCACTGGAGAGAGGATGGGCAAAGCATGAAAGGGTGGGCAGAGAAGCTGGTTGGTGATGGAGAAGAGGGTTGTCCTTGGCCTCCAAGATTGTCTTAGAGTAGAATGATGATTTAGCAGAGGCCAGAGCAGAGTGGTAAGGTTTGATAAGTTCCAGCCAGATCTGCCAATGGACCGTTAAGTTGGATTTGAGCCAGGTGCGTTCAGCGGCACACACCTGTGCTTTAAGGTGGCTGGTGTACCAGGGTGACTTTCGTGAGTAGGAGACAGTTCAGGAAGTGAGGGGAGTAAGGCATCGAGAGTGGTGGATAGAGAGTTGTGGAGGAGAGTGACCGACAGAAGGAAGCCCAGAGGGGGCGCAGTGCAGATGACCCCAAGGCAGCAGAGAGGGGACATTTTTTTCCAGGTGTGGTAAGAGATGGAGGTGAGTTGGGTGGCGGTGGGGAGAGGAATTGAGGAGTTAAGGGAGATAAAGTGATAGTCTGAGATGGCTTTGAAGGGTGATGGTGAAATCAGAGACGATGAGGGCCCGAGTGATCACCAGGTTGAGGGGGTGACTGCAGACGAGGATGGTGGAGTGGATGTGGAAGGAGAGGTTGATGTAGGAGAGGAGGGAGGAGACGTCAGCAGAGGTAGAGCAGGAGAGGATGAAGTGAAGGCTGAAGTCACCAAGGATGAGGAGGCGTTCGGAGCAGAGGAAAGATAGGAATGTGGAGATGATGTGGAGAAAGGTGGGGGAGGGCTTGGGGAGGGAGAGTGATAGATAACGAGAAATTTGAGGGAAACCTTGGAGGGGTGTTAAAGGATAAGGGGATAGGTCGAGCGGGGACAGGGGGATGAGAGCCACACCGCCACCATGGCAGTTAGATCGTGGGATATATGGAAGGTGTAGTTGGGTGGTGTTGCCTCTGTTGGCCATTGGCGGGAGAGCCTTCAGCCACTCTGCCCCCAATCTCTGGAATTCCATCCCCCAATCACTCTGCCTCACCCCTTCCTTAGCCTCCTTCAAGTCCTGCCTCGACCCTCCTCTTCGACCATGCCATCTGCCACACCCCTTCCCCTCCCCTCCCTTCTCCCTGCCTGACCCCAGCTCGGGTTTGAAAGGCGCTATACGAATGTAATCGTGTTGTTCTTGTCAGGAGCAAGGTGACCTAGGTTTCAATATTATTAACTGTGGAAGAGCAAAGGGTATCCATGAACAAACTCACAGGTACAAAAAGTTACCAAAAAAACTAATGACCTTTATCTCAAGGGGTCTGGAATATAAAGGAGAGGAAATGATGCTTCATTTGTAAACGAGCCTCGGTCAGACTGCATCTGGAGTACTGCAACAACAACAAGATTACATTTGTCGGGAGGACGGCCCAAGGCACTGGACATGTACAGCATTTCAGACCAGAGCAGGGGTCGGGGGGGAGAAGGGACGGGAGGGGAAGGGGGGTGGCTGATGGCATGGTGGAGCAGGCTGGAGCCGGTTGAGCGGAGGGAGCGGGTGGGTTGATAGGGGTTTAGGAGATCGCAGAGGTAGGGTGAGGCGAGGTTATGGAGGGTTTTGTAGGTGAGGACCACGATCTTGAACTGGATCTTCTGAAGGATAGGGAGCCAATGGAGTCGGGCGAGAATGGGGGAGATGGGCTCATGGAGTTTAGTGCGGGAGAGGACACATTCAGTCTTGACCACTGCACCTCAGGAAGGATATAATAATAAATAATAATTCTTGCATTTGATATGGTGCCTTATCACGTCATTGAGATGTCTCAAAGTGCTTCACAGAATATACTGCAAAGTGAATTAACTGTATATTTTGTGGGCGAAACACAGCAGCCAATTGCACACAGCACAGCAGTGTCCCACAAACCGACGTGGATTGAGTGACCACATTTTTTAAAATATATATATATATTAGCTCTGGAGGGGGTGCAGTGCAGATTCACCAGCATGATACCAGGGCTTAAAGTGTTAAATTTGGGGTACAGATCAGCCATGATCTTATAGAATGGCAGAACAGGGTTGAGGGGCTAAATGACCTTCTCCCGTTTCTATGTTTCTGATGATTCCACCAAAGAAACACACAGAAAGTCTCATTCTATGACTTGGCAATAACCAGATGACACCAAGGGGCACGTGGGCTATTCTAGTGAACAATTAACAGTCAGCAAACATTTAGTGCCAACAATGCTATGGTACAAATGAATACGTTTCAAAGTACAGCCAAACAAAGGAAGTGTGGACGATTTTATGTAGATCACAATTATGTGGCGCTTCTAAAGTATTGAGGTAAGTTTGCAGTAAAAGACAAAACAGCAAATCCAACATTGGATTTCAGTCACACAGAAAAACAGAATGTATGTTTAGAAATACATAAAATATAAAGAGATAAGAGACAATCATAAGAAATAAAAAAGTAGAGGGCTATGTAGATGGCACAAGGCCATTGTTCTCAATGAACAAGGCCATTATTCATCAATTGTATTCAACTTGAAAAACAAAATGTACATTTAGAAAAACAGAGAATAGAAAAAGATGAGACATTTACAAAATAGTAGAGGGACATGTCGACTGAACAGTAAGATGCAGACTGAGAACGAAGAGAGAAGGAAAGAGTAAAGAATTGGCAGGCAGAGGTAAAAACTGAGAGACAAAGAGACAGGCTGCATAGAGACTTAAACAAAAAGTAGAGAGCTGGATGGAAGAGTCAATTCCTAAAAGTGATGATAGATTTCAACTTCAAGTGTTCAAGAATGTGAAGAGACATCAGTCTTAATTGAGGGAAATTGATCACTCTAATGATGCCTTCAAATCCCAAGGACACAAGTGAAAAAGTCAGGAGCAAGGAACACCGGCAAACTCTTTTCTGGAATAATTTAAGAGGCAGAGGAGGAATTGCACGGTGAGAAGGCACCAAGGTAGGGTTATCAATCAAATGGGATAGGCTTGGGTGTTCTCCTGTTCCTAAAAAGATGTGGTTTTGTTCTGATGAATGATTTGTTTCCAACTGCTTTGCTCTCCATCTCTCTCTGCCTTGTTATAACAATAATAATCCTTGCATTTTCTTTCTTGTTGGTAGCATGTCTGAATGTGCTTCACAGGATGCAATGTAAAATGTAGTAACCGTGTATTTGTAGGCAAACGCAGCAATCAATTTGCCCACAGATACCCGGCTGACCAAACAAAAATAATGGGAATTACATGGAAGTAGATATTTATAAGAAGTCATAAATCAAGTTAACAAGAATATTAAATGCCTATTTCCTGCTTTATCTTTAGACTAAATAGTATTTCTCACAGAGGTGCACATTGCTATCAAATACATGATGACCGATCAAGAGGAGACATTCCTGAACATTCTACTGCTGGGAAGTATTCAGAGTGGTAAAAGTGCAACTGGAAACTGTCTGCTTGGAATGTATGATTTTAATAGCAAGCTCTCCTTCAACTCAGTGACAGAAGACTGCAGGAACTGTGCAACCTGGGTAGACAATATAATGCGTCGCAATGGTAAGAACCTCAGGCTGCAAGTGAATGTTCTGGACACGCCAGGATATCCACACCCAAAACTCAGCAATGAGCTTGTAAAAGATTCTATTCGGAAGGGTTTGAGACAACATTTCAAGGATGGTCTTCATTTTGCCTTAATTGTGTTGAGAGCGGACATCCCAGTCTGTGAAGATGACAATCAAATTATGCATCTGGTGAAGGTAAATAAATATTTTATAAAATGGCAGGGAAGCGGGCCGGGGGTGGGATGGTAGGTGGAAGTTTCCTAAATTCTGAGTGTGAAAGGGAAGCTTGTAGATGGATAGAATTTTCCCATGTGAAAGGCAAGATATTGTAAAGCTGAAAAGATTCAGGCGAGTTAAACTAATTTTGCCAGAACGATTGGTGCATATACAAGCTTAAAAAGATGTATTGATTTGTCAATCAATTTTAAAACGTACTTTACGAAATAAATCTACTTTGAAGAATTGTTATTGATTAAAATAATAATCCTTGCATTTTATATAGGGCCTTTCATAAGATCTGCTTCAAAGTGAGTGATTGTGCATTTGTAGGTGAACGGGGCAACCCAATTGCGCACAGCAATGTTCCACAAACAGCCAAGTTGAATGAATGCTAGGATTGGCCATCATCAAAACAAATGGTTGCTCAAACAGGTGAAAGTCAGTTCTCGGCTAGCTCATAAGGTGAAAGTTAGTGAGAGACATCACATTTGGCAGGGGGGTGGGAGAGACAAGTATTAATTTATCCTACTATATGATTTATCCTACTATAACTGCTATTCCATCAATCAATTTAAAAGATTTAGCAACAGATGCAGAACAAATTCCAGCCCATATCATTCGGCTCTTCTTGTTGGACCTGCATTGTATTGAATAGATTGGGCTCATTTCTGCTTCCAGCCTGTGGGCACATGAATGTGTTAAACTTTCATATAAAGTCCAAAGTTGCCTGTCAGACAGCTGGTGTTACAATGGTAGAGGTGTACATTAGGACCCCAAACAGTGGGATTGTGTGGTTTTCTGTTTGCATAGACAGCTACTAATTTTTAAAGGAATGGAGTCAAAAATCAAATTCTTTGAAATTATTGAAGGACTTATACCTATCAAAGACAAAGAGACATTAAATAAGTTCAAAAATGATGCCCACTTCAAATTTATAACTACATTTTTTGATCTGAAGTTATCAAGGCAACATATCAAAATACTGCCATATTACTTACAGCGAAAAAAAGCATGATGGTATTGCTTAACAAGAAACTCTTCGATCTTTGCCTATTTCAATTGTGGCTATGTGTTCTAAAATACCAGAGCACTGTATCATACATTGACGATTTCAAAGATCAACAGCTGCTTGGACAGTCTTCTCTGGTAGCGGTGCCTTGGGGCAAAAAAAATCTGAAAAGAAATCTCCGAGTCCAGATAGGCAGCTGAAAGAGATTAATGTCAACTGTTATCTACTTCTGTGACTAGACAGTAATGATATGTTAGGTTATCCACTCTTGTGACCAGACAGTAATGCTATCCACTTTGTGAACTATTATGCAAAAGCTTCAAGAAAAATCCAAAAAGCTGGTTTTGCTTAAAATGAGCTTATTGTGTTAACCCTTGGACTGGGAGCAGTTAGAGAATTGGGCTCTCTTTCGCGGTCATTTAGTTTTGAGACTTCAGGTCACGTACGTCTCCGTAACGATTTTGCTAATATAGGAACGCATTAACCAAGGCAACTACGATAAGATTACAACAACAAGTTGCATTTATATAGCCCTGGGCAGCATCTCGGATTGCTTAACAGTGGGGGAGCCCGACTTCGAGCCGGGGGAGGGAGATGGCCGTAAGCAAGGTCGAAGAGGAAGGTCTTCAGTTGTGATCTAAAAGAGGGGAAGGAGGGTGCAAGGCGGAGGGATTGGGGGAGAGAGTTCAAGCTTCAGGGTGTAGTGGCTGAAATTGCAGCCACTGATGGTGGAGAGGAGGGGAAGAAGGACAGGGAGGAGGCCACAGCCAGCCGAGCGGAGGCACCGGGTAGTGGGAGTGGGGAGAGAGGTCAGAAAGATTTATATAGTTTAAAAATAGTGTATATAACATTTTGAAAACTTTACATCTTTATTCTTTTTCATTATTTCTCTTGCTTTTCTGCAGTTTTAACTTGAATTATTTCTTCCTTAAGCCATCTGTTTTAGTGCTTATGTTGTGTTAAGTTTAAAATCTTTCCTTTTTTCTGCATCTGCATCCTGGGGGCAGATTCCAGACCCCTTAAAATATTGTTCTTAGTTTCGGGTTATAAACCAGTTCCAAGCTATTAAGCCGTTAGTTCCAAGGGATGCCAAAGTTTTATGTTTTTTCCAGGCTTATGTTTGCAAACGGCCCAATTATATAAATCATTGTATACCAAAGGGAATCAGACAATTGAAATGTTAGCATGTTGAAAGTAATCGGTCCGTTCCTAGTCAGAGATTGGTGCTGAAAAGTGAACTAAAACTCAGGCTTAGTTTTCACAATTGAATGATCTGCTCACAATCAGCATTTATCAATATAAAATGTATATCAATAAGAGCGGGGAATTAGGACTAAAGTATAAAGTGGAGTAGTTGCCACCATTGATGGACCAAATGTCTTTGTGTGACAGTTTTCACAATTTGTCTTAGCTTATACATGAATACTACCATGGTGTGAGGCCAGTGTCAGGTAAACTTTGGAACCAGTATGTCAGTGCTTTCGAGAAAGAAGAAAAAGAGAGATAATTTTGAATGTGGAGGGGGTGAGCGGGGAGAAAGAGTAGAAAGTGGAGCCTTTAGGCTGGATCATGATGAATGTGATTTGGTTTAGTGCAACATTAAATGTACATTTGTTCACAATTTAAACAATTCTATGTTGAATGCTTTTAACAATATTTATGTTGCTCCAGGATATTCTTGGATCCTCATGGAATACATTTACTGCACTGGTCTTCACCCAGAGAGATACAGTAGAGAAAGCTGGTTATGATGGAGAAGAATATTTGCTAACTGCTACCGAGCCATTAAAACAGCTTCTGAGATCAGTACACAATAGATACCACTTTGTCAATAATTGCGCAGACTTTCTCAGAGATGAGCAAGGCCCACTTTTGGCTAAAATAATGACATTTTTTAGACAAAATCATTACAAAGTGCTACAGTTTTAATTGAATGCATCAAGAACGGACAGCAGCAGAAGTTCAACTGGGTCACAAACTGCCTAATTTATACAGATTTACATTCAATCACTTATTTCTTTATTTTAAAAAAATGGTTGTTCAGTCTTCAGCTTTTTTTATTGAATAATCTAATGGTGAAATACACATTAAGTTTATATGCACAGAATTAATAAGCTGAATGATCGAATGCTATTTCACCTGTGAAATTTGAATTGAAAGTAATTGAGGGAGATGTTACTGTACTTTCCCTCACGGGAACCATTACATCATTGCTTTAATCTCCTACAGCTTAAAGGTATAAGATTTAAGGTATCCAATTCTGAGTAGCAGTACCTTAGTCTGGTTCTGAAGTCTGTGGAAACTGTTCATTTCATGTCTTTCATACGATGAATCAGTTTCACGAGCTTTCAAAAATCATTAAGTGGCACACAGGATTAATTGGAACTCAAGAGAAGAAAGAACTTAGTATGATCACACCAAAAATCTCCAAATGCTTTAATGTTGAATGTCAAGTGTGTTGCCTGCTTTTGTAGGCTAACATAGCACGCAGCTTTTGCACGCAGCAAGGACCCACAGGTGGCCATAAGATCACTAATTTATCTGGAGGATTCTTGGCCAGGATTGCTGCAAACATCTTTTGTCAACAGCACAAATCTGACTGCTTACCCAGCAGCAACAAGTTCTGCTCCAGCTCAATGGAGGACAGATTATTTGGTTGAATTGAGCATTTTTAACATAATAATAATCCTTGCATTTGATATAGCGCTTTTCACGTCTTCTAGACATCTCAAAGCGTTTCACGGAATACACTGTAAAGTGACTTGACTGTATACTTGTGGGCGAAATGTGGTAGCCAATTCCGTACAGCAGTGTCCCACAAATAGAGTGAACACTAAAAATGATTGCTTTCCATTATATGATGTACAAAATATTCAATGATTAAACCACAAATGAAAACTTTATTGCTCATATAAGTTTTATGGCTGAGCCTTTGCAAATTATTTTCCATATCAGTACAAAGTCTATTTTTCTTTAGTCAGCCAGGACTGGCCAAGTGGAAAACCATCACCATACTTAAGAGCATCCAACTAGAGTTCCATGCATTCCACCCCACATGGAAATACTCTCTCTTATTGTTGGGACACATACCGATTACCCAACTCCAGAAAATATTAGGCGCAGATTGGCAAGAGCCAAGGCCCGGGGACCCCAGAATATGTGTTGAAACAAATAGTTCCCATTTTTATGGTTACAATTTATAATACTAATTCTTGCATTTGATATAGCACCTTATCATATCTTCGCGACATCAAACAGCTTCACAGAATATACTGTAAAGTGACTATTTTATGGGCGACATGTGGCAGTAAATTGCGCACAGTAGTGTTCCACAAACTGTCGTGGATTGAACGACCACATTANTTTTTTTATATTTTATTTAATTATTCTCAAATGAACTTTTATCCTGCAGAATAAACAAATTGTATATAAATAACATCCAGTGTGTTCTATAACATGCTAAAACTGAGGCCAGATAAACTTGCATTCAGTAGGAATCTTCATGTCACACCCCCCACCCCGCATGCAACATTCAAAAGCATAAATCTGCTCAATGTATTCTTCTGATTATACTTATGACACTAAATTCCATACAATTTGAAAATAGAAATTATGCTAAAGTGTATAATTATCACAAGTCCTCAGTCACTCCTCTGGAGGTTGTGCCATTCACTGTAAAAAGGGTAAGAATTATATAGTTTTGTGGTCACTGCACACAAGTTAAATAGTCTCTGGCCATCTCGGCAAATATGCATCTGTTCAATGAAATGAGTAACAAGAATCCCTGATTTACCACATCATATTATTAGCCAGTGCAAATTTTACACAAAGTTCCTGAAGATGTCCTAGATTGCAAATATTAAACCATATACTGTACATTCAATTTGGCTTTCAGCTGTTGAATTCTGTGGACTGTGAACATTTAACATTAGTCTCCTCCACTATGTTTTTTAAAACTTTTAAAACACCACTGTTTCAATTCCTGCCTGAAGTATTGTTCCCAGCAAAATGGGACCAACCAATTTTGGTTTTCAGCTGTTGAATTTTGTGGACTGTGACAATTTAACATTAAATCGTCTCCACAATTTTCAGTCTACGTTTTCTTACTGTAACTATCTGTATGAATTGAATAGGTTTAATGTTCAATGGTTGAATGGCTCACAAATTGAATGTGTCTATTAAATTGACTGGATTTCTAAAGTTCAAAGAGAATGAATGCATCAAGAGGTGTGGAATCATGCTTCATTGTGAGGAGATAATGAAACAAAGTCACACAAAAGCCAGGAGAGCAACTTCAGAGGGAGAGGAGAAAGCAAAGGAGCTGTGACAAAGGAAGTCTGTTTTAAACCGTCTATTTCTGAAACCTTCTATTGGTCATTTTAAATTTTTTTTGTACCTCATATTTAAATGAGGGAGATTATCCCGAAGATAGGCTTAGTTGAGGAAGGGCAGGAGGCTGATGTGGAGCATAAATGCCAGCATAGACCAATTGGGTTGAAGGGACTGTTTCTGTGCTGTATATTCTACAACATAATTGCATTTGTATAGCGTAATTCTATGTAATATAGTATTTTCATCTTTAGCAATTTATTAAACTAGAACAATTAGGAAACATAACATTTGTTAATTAATAAAATTATTAATATAATCTCCCAAGGATAAATACAAGTTGTTGTTGATGTTGAAAAGACTGTGAAACGACACCCAGTTTGCAATTGTCTGTTGCGGGCCCGTCAAACTTGTCATTTGCACCTATGGAAAGCAAGCCGATGTTGCACAGGTTTGAGAGAAGCGACCTGTGTGTATTTGATAGCGGTAACCTCTTTTGAAGGTAAGCAGGCTACAGGGGGCAAATTGATAAAGTGAAACCAGACAAACACACAAAATTATGACATAGACACTTTCTGTACAGAAACATGCACATCACACACCAATGAATGACAAAAGAAAAGCCATTTTACCCATCCCATATGTCGTGTAGTATGCTATATGCTGGAGATGCAGCATACATGTGCTTTGAAGAATCAACAACAACAAATATCATTTGTATAGTGCCTTTCACATTGGGAGGACATCCCAAGATGTTGGACATTCAATGTTTCAGACCTGAACTGGGGGCCCGGATAGGGCAGGTTGGAGGGCAGGAGTGGGATGGAGGGTGATTGAAGGCACGGTCGACGAGGAGGGTCTTGAAGGAGGCAAGGGAGGGGGCGAGGCAGAGGGACTGCGGGATGGAGTTCCAGAGGGTGGGGTTAGAGTGCAGTAATAAATAATACACTGAATAATGCATAATAATCCATCCCACATTCCCTTCGCCTTGCCCCCTCCCTTGCTTCCTTCAAGGCCTGGATCAAAACCCCCCACGTCCACCGTGCCTTCCATCACCCTCCATCCCCCCTCTGCCCTCCATCCTCCCCAATCTTACTAGGAAGGGTAGGGGTAGGAGGGTGACCGAAGGCACGGTCCAAGAAGAGGGCCTTGATCCGGGCTTTGAAAGAAGCAAGGCGAAGGGAACGTGGGATGGAGTTCCAAAGCGTGGGGGCAGAGAGGTTGAAGACCTTAACTCCGATGGTGGGGTGGGTCAGCCGGGAGACATGGAGCAGGCCGGACGGAACCTGATGAGTGCAGGGAGAGGACAAGTCAATATGCAATTAGCAGGTCACAGAAACAGGGAGGATTTTGAACTCTATCCTCTGGGGGATGGGGAGTCAGGTGAGGATGGGGTTGATAGGGTCTCGGAGAGGACACAATCTGCAGCATTCTGAATGATCTGCAGGTGGTGGAGGGAAAAGTAAGGAAGGCTGACAAGCAGGGAGTAGTCGAGCGTGGATGTGAATCACAAGTATAAGAATATCTAATATCAAATGCTGCTGGGAAGTGGGGTTAGAGATGAACAAGGTAGGTTTCTTAACTTACTCTTATATCTATCAGCTGGGGCACAGCAGGAAGATTAGTACAACGAACCCCCAAAACGTTGCCAGTGTACTTCAATGTTTAAATAGCACTGTACTGAGTACATTTACCATCATAATGCAAGTAACATTAGCCAAGGGTGACTTGTAAAGAACATTGTGCAGAAAGACATAAAGTTCCACATACAGCTATACACAGTAGCTTCAGTTTAAAGTAACAAAAATATCATGGCATAGATGGCTACAGTACAACAAAAAATTCAAAACATTGAGAGTTTAGAGAATCTTATAATTTATCTAAATCCTTAACTACCAGCTCTTTATTCTAAAGCACAAACATTAGGAAGCAGCTAGTTCAAAACTACAAATTAGTTTGGAGGAATGGAAGAAATGAGACCAAAAAGCTTTGCCCTATTGAGACTAAATAAGCAATATGTAGGCTACCCAATTTATTATTAAATTAATAGCGTATTGATAGGATTACAGTTAATATCACCAGGGATTGGTAACACATCTTATTGATGAGACAAGCTTAAAATGTATGATTTAACTTTGTGAAAAGAAATTACATAGCAATCAAATGTATTTAGAAAAGTATTTCTGCTTTACACAGATCCTAGAATATGTTGTTTGTAGATGGCCACATGATATTAATAAATGTTGATTACAATTCTGCAGTATTAGAGGAAATTATTTTTAAATGCATTGGCAAAGCAATCCAAGAAAACTGCTGGTAAAAAAAAATCACATTCTGAATAAATATAACTTAAGCACCAAGCTGAGTAGTGATAAGCCAATCTCTCACTTTAGGATGGTCCAATGGACGGCCTACAGGGTACATCCAGCCCAGGGGATGATTCATCTGGCCCGCAAATCATTTCAACCAAAAGATTGGACCACCCTGATTCGTTTTATATGTCGTTTGCACAACTGATGGCCAACAGATCCTGAAGACAATGTTCTGCAGATGAGATTGGCACTACACCGTCTTTCTTATACTGTTGGAAGTATTGTATATGGCAGCAAACTTTAAGCCATAGAACAATGAAAAATTGTATTTAAATTGGTACTCAAGTAACCAGAGTGGCAGTTCTAGCTTTCAACACGCATACATGGATGTATACACACAGCCACTTCCAAATGGATACTAAGATACATTGGAAAAGATGAATAATAAATTTCAAACAGGTACGTTGCGGCCAAAAAAGATCACAAGCAGATCATTCCATATACTCTGCAATCATGCATAAAAGTGAATAATTCACAGCCAATGAATGCATTCATGTCTTTATTGTACTTTTTGCAGTATTAGAACCATTCTTATAATCTGATAGTATGGAAATATGTTATTTAATTCCACTATTTGCCATTGTCTGAGCCTTACAAACACCTTTTCCTTTCACTTCAAATGGTACACCTTTGTATGTAGCAACACATTCTGTATTTGTGCCAAGGTCAGGCTGAATCTGTTCCCAGGTTTTCTTCTTTGGATTTAGCTCTTTGTCGGGTTCACCTAAATAACACAAGAATATAATAAAATAATTAATAATAATCCTTGCATTTGATTAGAGCACCTTATCATTATATCAAAATACATAGTCATTCCATTTTACAGCATGTCCTGTGAAATGCTCCTCCAGACGTAAAAAGTGCTATAGCAAATGTAAGGATTATTATGAGATAAAAACAGCTAATGTATATAACCATCTTCTATAGGTTTCAAAATAGTCAATCAACAATGACTTTAATTTGATAATTGGAAAGAAATGGATTAATGGATGCGATCAGGCAGCTAATCTACTTACCAGAATATCCATCAAAGGTTACTCGATCTCCAGGTATAGCATCTTTCGGTGGGTCTAAGATTTCAACCTTCTCTGGTGAGCTTGCACACATCACCATAGCCTGCGAGACCACTCCCCTCATTTTAGCTGCTTTAAGGTTACATAGCAACACTGCCATCCGATTCTGCATCTGCAAAAACATAATAATGCCAAAGAATGTTTAGAATGTCCACAAATATACAGTCAATTCCCTTTACAGTATATTCTGTGAAGTGCTTTGAAACTTCTAGAAGACATGAAAAGCGCTATGTCAAAAGCAAGGATTATTATTATTTATTATTATAATGCCATTTCAAAAATCTGGAACTGGTGCATAGAGACATTAAGAGAGCAACAATAAATTGTGGATTTTTTTAAGAAAGACCTTTCAATTTATAGTGTCTTATCACATTGAAATTTCTTCAAGCGGTTCACAGGCAAGTATTGTCACGGGTAGTGACCACCTATTTCTGTTGGTAAATGCAGCCCACATATCTACAGGCAAGGTTCCCCAAACAGCCCAGGTGAATAACCAATTAACCTAGAGAACTGTAAAATAGCATGTTTGAAGAGGAGGGTCTTGAGGTGGGACTTGAAGGAGGCTAAGGAGGGGGACGAGGCGGAGTGGATGGGGGATGGAATTCCAGAGGATGGGGGTAGAGTGGCTGAAGGCTCTCCCGCCAATGGTGGGGCGGGTGGGTCGGGGGACGTGGAGCAGACTAGAGCCGGCTGAATGGAGGGAACGGGCAGGTTGGTAGGGGGTTAGGAGGTCACAGAGGTAGGGCGGGGCGAGGCCATGAAGGGCTTTGCATGTGAGGACCAGGATTTTGAACTGGATCCAAGAGTGGGGGAGATGGGGTCACAGAGTTTGGTGCGGGAGACGACACGGGCTGCAGAGTTCTGGATTATCTGCAGTCTATGGAGGGAGGAGTTGGGAAGGCCGACAAGCAGGGCGTTTGCATAGTCGAGCCTGGAGGTGATAAAGGCAAGAACAACATTGTAACCAAGAGGTAAAGTGTGCTACCAACTAAACCAAGGTGACTTGAGATATATAACTGAGGAAAAAAAAGTTATAAAATCATTTAAATCTACTATTAAATTAGGTAGACAAATGGTAAAATAATTTTAACACAAATGTAAATTGCAAGCTCATAAAAGCAATGTGCATGATAAGCACACGATGAACAGGATTGAAATAGCAGTTGGTTACCAGGGAAAGAAACTTTCAATGTCATGAGAATGTAGCAAAATAATTAAAAGATGTACAGTGTTTGAATTCATACAATTCAAGCTTCCAGAAGTTATGTTTGGGCTTTACAATGCACTGGGGCCATTTATAATCAATAATAATCCTTGCATTTTGATATAATGCCTTATTGTGGAGTCCTGTAGCTCAGTGGTTAGAGCACTTGCTTTGCAAGTGAGAGACCTGAGTTCAATTCCAGGCAGAGGGCGAAACCTTGGGCAAGTTTCCTTACTCCACACAGAGCCTAATAATAATCCCTCAAAAAAAAAACAATAATAAATTGGTCATTTTCAATCTACGACTGTTTGTGGGACATTGCTGTGCGCAATTGGCTGCCGCGTTCGCCCACACATATACAGTCAATTCACTTTACAGTGTATTCTGTGAAGCGCTTTGGGACGTCCTCCCGACATGAAAAGCGCTATATCAAATGCAAGGATTATTATTATTATTATCACGTTTTCTAGGTGTCTCAAAGCGCTTCACAGAATATACTGTAAAGCGAATTGACTGTATATTTTGTGGGCGAAATACACAGTCAATTCACTTTACTGTATATTTTGGTCAGCCAATTCCGCACTGCAGTTTCCCACAAACAGTCGTGGTTTGAGTGACCAAAAATTTATTTTGAAGGAATTATTAGCCCCGTAAAAGCAATCCGCCAACGACTAACAACCGGGTTCCTACTTACTGCTAGGTAAACAGCGGCGTGTGGAGTAAGGAAACTTGCCCAACATTTCGCCCTGCCGGCATTCAAACCCAGATCCTCTGGCTTACGATGCGAGTACTCTAGCTACAGGACTGCACATTTCTGGTCACCACTCCACAAAAAGGAGCACCTATGTACAATTTTTTTATGAGAGTTAATCAGGAAAGTAGGACCAAGGACATAAATTTTAAATAATTAAAAAACAAGTTTCATAACAGATATTAGGAGAGAATTTATCTAAAGAATAATGAATGTTTGAAACAATTTTCTAGGTGAGGAAGCAGAGACAAATAATTAAAGGACATTTAAAATGAAGTTCGATGCTATAAGTGGGTAAAGTAGGTTTAAGTATTTTTTTTCTATTCTTGACTTTTCTTTATGTTCTTAATTCAGGTTATCTGGAACATAATTTAGGCTACTTGTTCTTTCTTTTATAGACTGATTCAAGATGCATGCAACCGTGCAGTCCTGTAGCTCAGCGGATAGAGCGCTCGCCTTGCAAGCGAGACACATGGATTCAATTTCGGGCAGGGCAAAACCTTGGGCAAATTTCCTTACTCCATGCGCCTAATAATAATCCCTCCAAAAACCCCCCAAAATAATAAATTGGTCATTTTCAATCCATGACTGTTTGTGGGACATTGCTGTGCGAAATTGGCTGCCGCGTTTCGCCCACAAATATATATATATATATATAATATACTTTACAGCATATTCTGTGAAGCGCTTTGAGACGTCTGGAAAACGTCAAAAGCGCTATATCAAATGCAAGGATTATTATTATTATATCTCTTTGATCTGTGATTGTACATTGTACACCAATAAAGAGATTCCAGGTGGGAGATATTACCTAATTACATTGTTAGTAACAATTCTATGCCATTAATTTATAAATTGATAAGATCTTCCTTCAAAACCATATGCTAGACTTAATGTAGACAGATCGATGTATGCATAATTAATTCCACAATCTCCCCAACATTTTCCAATCGTCAACTGGAAATTACGTTTGCAAACAAATTGTGTTGATAGCACCAAAATCATCAAGCTTGCAATATCAAGACTACCAGACATCAATAATGCAGGAAAATGTGTACTCCATAAACGCTACTGTCAGCACATATAAAGCTGAATGAAACTAAGACACAAAAAATAGTGCAAATCCTGTGTAGTTTTTCATGTAGTAATATAATCTGAGTTCTAGCTATTCATCTAAACCCACCTGAAATATATATTTTTACAATATGCCACTGCCATCCACTAAACTGCACTTCTGGTTCCAGGAACTAATGGCCCAGATGGAATAATCATGGAACATAGTTGTCTTACTCTGTATTTCTTCACCCCCAGTTTTTTACATAAAAAAGCAAGAATTGAAGTATAATAAAGATATGATTGCTTGAAAAACATGTAATTGCCCAATGCTCCACTTTCAAAAGAACAAGCACAAATTTGGCTGGCATGTTTCGGATTTTTTTTTATGTGATCACACATCTGGAGACGATGTAAAACACGTGAAAGAAAATGAAAATCACTGGTAAGCAATGAAAAACAATTTCCTTGCACAGAATGGTTGAGTGCAATTTAGAAGGTACCGCACACCAAGAATTTTAAGTACAATAAAATATTGCAAGAGTGGACTGAGGAGGAAGTTGAAAGGGCTTCAAAAAGAAAGAATAAGACAGAAATTCAGCTAACCTATATGAGTGAATTTACATTCTCCACTGTGCATTAAAGCTAGTTGTATAAAAAAATGTTTCCTTTAATTTTCTTTAACAGACATTGCTGAACTTACAAAAATAGGCACTGTACCATTCCAATTGTAGAATTGGCAAATTTAATTTGCCACAGGTTTTATGACCAGAGTAATTATTTTTGAAAATACATGAAGTTATCAAAATAATGAAGTAATGCTTTTACTAAATAACTACCCCACCTCCCCACTTGGAGATAGGTTTAACACTAAACAATTATACAAACCTTTCATGTGGGATAATGTCTGAATGCTTTACAAAGACAGGGATAAATGCCAAGTAGTGATGGGGGGGGAGAGGGAGGTAACCATAGGTGAGTTTGAAGAGGTTTTAAGGGGAAACTTAGATAGAAGTGAAGAGAGTTCCAGGGTGGGGGAGTTTCAGAAGTTAGGGGCATAGAGTCGAAGGTTTGTCACAATGGGGAGAGGTGGGGGGCAGCACTGGTTAGTTGGGCAGAGGCCAAAGCAGAAAATACGGTTGGAGAAGGGCAACGGTAAGGAGGTGCTAGGGCGAAGGGATTTTTTGGTGAGGATGAAGACAGCTGGGAGACATCAAGCAAATGGAGCTTGGGAAGGATGCAGATGGCAGAGTTTGGGATAAATTAGAGCTTATGGATGTGGAGCCAGAGAGACCAGTGAAGAGTGCATTTGAAAAGTTCAGGATGGAAAGTAACAAAGACATAGATAAAGGTTTTGGTAGCATTTCATGCGAGATAGTCTTGATCAAGGACTGGGAACGAGGGAGAAAGGAAGATGTGGAATCAGACCAGAGGACAAAGTTGCACACTTGTTCAGTGCAACTAACTGTGCCATAAACATTCTGAGAGGATAAATCTTCCAATGAAATGTAAGATTATGAAAGGATTTGGTAGGGTGGATGATGATAAGCCTTTGACAGATTGAATGGCTCAAGTAGCCTGCAGGAACTCGTTCAGATAACTGTTCAATAAGAGGGAGGAGGAGTCTTTCAGCCAAGGCAAGTTCAAGCTGGACAATCACTAATAGCTGTGTAATCTCCGACTCCTAATTGGTAAAGAGCAGAAATTGTGAAATATTGCATCGAATTGTTAAAGCTTGTGTTTGGGGCTTTCCATGTTGGGTCATGGCAAGGTATAGGCCAAGAGATATTTTGGATCTTCTCCATGCTAATAGTGGGCATTGTCCCAGGATTTGATTATCAAAATTCTTTCTACAATTATCGAAGTAATCAGCAAATTGAAAATGTGTTAAAAAGTTTAACAACATTTTGCAAATAAGTTATGAACAGAAGTGCTTGCCTTCAAAGCCCTCCACGGCCTTACTCCTTCGTCTGAGATCTGCTAACTCGATGTAGACCTGTCCTTCCTCGGCTCAGCAGGCTCTGGCCTGCTCCATGTTCTCCGCCCAGCACGCCATTCGAGTCCAGGCCTTTATCCGCTATGCCCCATCCTTTGCAACGCCATCCCACAATCCCTTTGCCTTGCTCCCTCCCTTGCATCCTTCAAGGCTCATCTCAGGATCTTCCTCTTCAACGTGTCTTCAGTCACCCTCCCACCCCTCTTATCCCAACCCCTAGCTCCGGTCTAAATTTGTGACTGCCCAGATCGTTTAGATGTCCTCCCGACATGAAAGCTGCTATACAATTGCAATTTGTTGTTGTTTTCAGAATTTACAAAAGATTATGCCACCTCTCTCAGGAGCACTTATAAGGAAAAAATAAGTCCTCAAACTGCTATACTCAGCTAAATTGTTTTTGTACAAGACCTCAAAGCTTTTATCCTAAACCACACTTGAAAATCGTTTGTTTTTCGTAGAAAATAGAATCAAGCAGTTTGTGGTGTCAAGTTTGTGGAATCAAGAGAGTCGGAGGGACTCCAGGATGGAGTGGGACTAAATAGGCTGAAAGCACGACCTCTGATGGTGACACTTTTGGTCTTATGGTTTAATTACTTAGCACTTCTTCGGTGTGAAACGTCAGCAAGCATGCACATTCTTATGTATTTAATAACAAAATAGAGCACCCCACCTTTTGCTTAAACATACAGCTAAAAATATTACAAGTATAAATACATGCAACATAACTTTCACATCATTTTTTTGGTTAGGAATTACCTCCTCTAAAGGTACATGCTTCACCAATCCACTGACGACTGTTCTTAGGGTAGGTTCTCCCACATCAACCTCTTCCACATACAATGAGTCAGCATCAGGGTGTTTCCTGGCAGTGACAATACAGCCAATTCGTAGGTCTAAGCGAGAAATGTCAACCGGTTTGGCATCATCACCACCACCAGCTTGCTGCTTCTTCTCCTTCTTTTCTCCTACAGGGAAAGAAAATCAATAGTAATCATTTCAAAATGTGGAATGATATTAATAATATTCCTTATATTTGATACAGGCCATTTCACGTCGGGAGGATGTCTCAAAGCGTTTTCACAAATTGTAGTGACTACATATTCTAATATTAATTGGGGGATTGTTAGTCAGGAAACCGGGAGAAACTCTACAAGATATTACAACTACTACATACTACAACATATGCATTAAAATTTAGAACTGCAGTTTACGATCATTAAAGTTGTTTTCTGAAACCAATTTTAATCACTTTTTTTCGAGAAAGGCACATTGGTAAAAAACACAAATCAAATATTTATTTGGTATCTGAATGGTTTAAGAAATCTAAGAACATTGCATTGAAAATCTAGTTGTGTGCATATACCAAGTTACATGACAATAATAGGGTCATTATTTGTACAACAACAATAAAATTACATTTGTAAAGCGCTTTTCACGTCGGGAGGACATCCCAAGGCGCTGGACAGATAGAATTACGGACCCATAGCTGGGGGTCAGGGTTGGGGAGAGTGGAGGGCAGGGGCGGGAAGCAGGGAGATCAAAAGCTTGGTCGAAGAGGACGGTTTTGAGATGGGTCTTGAAGGTGGCAAGGGAGGGGGTGAGGTGGAGGCACTGCTGGATGGAGTTCCAGAGGCTGGGGGCAGAGTGCCGGAAGGCCCACCCGCCAATAGTGGGCTGAGCAAGGCAGGGGACGTGAAGCAGGCCAGAGCCTGCTGAGTGGAGGGAGCGAACAGGATGGTAGGGGGTTAGGAGGTTGCAGAGGTAGGGGGGAGCAAGACCATGGAGAGCTTTGAAGGTGAGGACCAGGATCCTGAACTGTATCCTCTGTTTGATGGAAAGCCAGTGGAGTCGGGCGAAGATGGGGGTGATAGGGTCGCGGAGCCTGGTGAGGGAGAGTTCACGAGCTGCAGAGTTCTGGATGATCTGCAGCCTGTGAAGGGAGGAGTTGGGGAGGCCGACAAGCAATGAGTTTGCATAGTTGAGCCTCGATGTAATGAGTTTGCAGTCGAGGCTCGTGCCATGTGATTTACTATAGGGAAAATTGCATGGCACCTTCACATGTCTTGCTTTATAAAGAAGGGTGGAATCCCAAGGAGGGTTTCAAAGAGAGAGGAGGATAGGAGAGAGAGAAAGAGATAGGTGGTCAAATCGTTGAATTTGATGTAATGTCATTGAGATGTCTCAAAGCTCTTATTGTAAGGTGGGATATGACTATGCTGAGACATCTCAAAGCACTTCACAGGATATACTGTAAAGTGGATTGACAGTGTATTTTGTAGGTGAAACATGGCAGTCAGTTGCACATAGCAATATCCCACAAACAGCCATGGAGTGACCAAATGCCTACCATACCTTTCCCCATCAATAAATCAAACTGCTTTTTAAATGTGTCTTGTGTCCTAGCCTCTACTAATCCTGGCAACCTGTTTCAGTCATTGATTACGCGCTGCATGAAGAAAAACTTCTTGTTAACTGTCCTGAGATTGTCCTACACAACTCTAAACCTACGTTCTCTGATTTGTCTGGTGTTCTCGACAATCAAATGCAAGGATCATTATAACAATCCTCCACGTTAATCTTATTTGACCCCCAACTATTCTTCCAACCTTACACCTTGGGCTCTTATAAGCTCTGCAACATCACCCACCTCCACCACTGCCTTTTCCCAGGCTGCTGAGACGCTCATACACACCTTCATTACCTCCAGGCTCAATTTCTCTAGCCTGCTGCTCACCAGACTCCCTAGCTCTTCTGCAAAAGCTGCAGATCACCCAGAAAATTGTAATTTGTGTCCTCTCCCGTATTAGGCTCCGTAAGCCTATCACATTTGTATTACTGTTTCCCCATCTGCAGCCAATCTATCTCAAGATTCTCATCCTTACATTTAAATGCCTCCACAGCCTTTCCCTACCCTACCTCTTCTACCTCCTGCAACCATACTGCCCTGGCTGGTCTCGTCACTCAGCAAGCACCAGACTGCTTAATATTCTATTCCCACTCCGCCCTGCTATCAGCAACAACATACATTTTTATAGCACCCTTCACACATAGTGATGTCTCGAGGTGCAATCAGTGGGTTGGAGGTGGGTGGGGGAAGAGCCTTCAGTCTTTCTGTCCTTGCTCTGTGGAGCTCCATCCTAGAATCCCTTTACTTTGCCCCTCCCTCTCAGTCTACAAAAAAAAACACTTATAACCTATATCTTCAATTAAGCTTTCAGTCATCTCTCCCCTCCCCAGCTCTGCCTTACAGTCAGGTGTATGAAGCACTTTGGGGCATCTCCTGATGCAAAAGGTTCTCTCTCCCTCTTTTGTATATAAATATCAAACTGTTGTTGATTGGTCATTCACTAGATGACTTGTTTGTGGGAACTTGCTGGCGTAAATATATGTCCCACTTTTCCCACACAAAATATCAGTACATTTGATGGTAATCACTTGTGCAGCATTTTTGATATATTCAATGTGAGTCTCTCCTTACACGAATAAAAATGCAAGATTTTTTATGTTCTTTTCAAAAATGCTTTCAAAGTGAATTACACTTTTATCTAAAGCAGTAAATGGCTATACAGAGTTGAAAACCAATCTTGGACCTTCCCCCTATAAAAGATGGTCTCCAAAAGAAGATGACAATAAAATTAAAATTTATATCACAAAATGCATGTGGGTGAGCATACGGTTTAGTTTACTCTAACAGTGAATCTCAAAGTTTACTTTTGAAACTTGATTCTCTTAAAATGGGACCTGAAAGAATAGTACACAAAGAAGGAAACAAGTTGGACAAAGTGTTTGCTTATAAGTGCACAGTCACTACACTTGCCAGCAAGTTTTTATGAAGCATGTTGAGAACTTATAGGAGCTACTTTGAATGCAAAAAATATTTTTTAAAATACGTTAAAACGTTAAAATAATGGAGAAATGTGAAAATAATCAGTTAGATAGGATCAGGAGCTTTAACTGGAGTACAAAGCAGAGGAGTGAAAATATTGGGAGAAATTGAATGATCGAATGAATAGGAAAGAACACTACACGATAATGATGACAAACGCATAATCTTTATTTTGAGTAAGAGGCAGAGAGAAGGGGATAATTACACCTATGCGAGATCACCAATTTTCATTACCCTAGGGTTCAAACCCCACATCGGGACTTTGAGCACACAGTCTAGGTTGATACTCTAACGCAATTATTACATTGTTGGAGGTGCTGTACTTCAGAGGTTTCGTCTGCCTGTTCAGGTGGATGATAAAGATCCCATTGTACAATTCAAAAAGATAAGGGAGTATCTTAGTGTCCTAGCCAACAACACCCCCCAGATAAAATTGATCATTCATGTCATGGCTATTTGTGAGCAACTGCTGTGTGCAATTTGACTGCCACATTTGCCCACAAAATATAGTAATTTTACAGTAAATTATGCGAAGCACTTGGGAGACTTCCTGATGTGAACAGCACTATGGCAAAAACGCAAGCATTACGTATAGATTTTAAGAGAAGCTAGAGCAAGACATGGTGATAATATGGATCTTTTCCAATAACTGATAGCAAACTTTACCAGTTACCATCAGATGGGTTATAGATGGCTAACAAAGTACAACCAATAAATGATTAGAACAATAATTACATAAAAAAAGTGAAAAAATACTTTGATCCCAATAAATTATTTTCACAGCTATAAAAGACTTGTCATTTTGAATTTCTCCAAATACAAACTATTTCCTACAGCAGAAATCAGTGCTTTGTACTGGGCTGGAAATCAGTTTTGATAAATTAGTAATGGAACACAAAATCCAGTTACTGCTGGGCACATACAACAACACAAAACACCACACAATATCAGGTTTCCAATAACCTGGACAGTATAGCTATGTGGGACAGATACTACCTTTTAAGGAGCTTAATTTTAATAGTGATATACTGAATGTTCACATGATTGAATTACACAGGAAAAGTTTACAACCACTTTATAGCCGAATGCCAAATTTCTGGCCAGTATGTAGTTTAATCTAAGAAAAGGAACACTTTATAATATATTGGAATATACAGCACAGAAACAGGCCATTCAGCCCAACTGGTCTATGCCGGTGTTTATGCTCCACATGAGCCTCCTCCTGCCCTTCCTCAACTAAGCCTTCAAGCATAACCTTCTATTCCTTTCTCCCTCATGTACCTATCTAGCTTTCCCTTAAATACATCTATGCTATTTGCCTCAACAACTCCTTGTGGTAGCATGTTCCACATTCCCACTACTCTCTGTGTGAAGAAATTTCTTCTAACTTCCCTATTTGATCTATTTGTGACTATGTTATATTGATGGCCTCTGGTTTTGGTCTCCCCCACAAGTGGAAACATCTTCCCTATGTCTACACTATCAAAACCTTTCATCATTTTAAAGACCTCTATCAGATCATCCCTTACTCTCCTCTCTTCAAGAGAAAAGAGTCCAAGCATATTCAGCCTTTCCTGATAGGTTTAACATCTCAGTTCTGGGATCATCCTTGTGAATCTCCTTTTCACACTCTGTGGCTGAGACAAATGGTTATGGTGTAGGATTGGAGGATAGGATGTCCTTTTCATCATTGATCTCATGTGTGCCCAGTCGGCAATGGTTCCAGTATGCCCAGACAAGGAATAAAAATTGACAGACCAACAGAATATTATTTGGATGAATCTCTGGGTTAGGATAGATTGTACACCAGATGCTGCAGCTTAAGGCAAATTGCTACTGCCTACAGCGCTTGTGAGTTACGTAGGTTGCTCTAGTAAATTATTTGTTGTATTCACCACTTCCTGATATACATCACATCCAAAATATACTTGGCTTAGCGGAAATTTCCTTTGAAGCAATGAAAGATGCTTAGTAATATGTGGCTGATGTTTGGCAAAACAGCTCTCCAGCAGGTTATTCACAACATCAGGCCACAGTTACATTTCAGCAGCTAAACTGTTTTTCTCAAGATTAAGACCTGTATGAGAACACTGAAAGAGAAGCTGGGGAATAAAATAAAGCAGAAGCATTGTTTATAATAACCCTAAATAATACTTGCATTTGATACATTTGCTTTCTCATCAGAAGAATGTCTATCTCAAAATTCACAGGACTGACTGTAAAGTATATGCTGTAGACCAGGGTGGTCCAACTGGCGGCCTGCGGGACGATTTAACTCGCTCCCCACCCCCACCATAACCTCTAAATGTTGTCATGTTTCTGGAAGGGAAACACATATTGCTTATGTGGCCCGCGTATGCTGTTCTAGTGGGGCACCCGGCCCTCTTCAGCCAAAAGATTGGACCACCCTGTTGTAGACAAACGTAGTAGTTAATGTGAACAGAGCAACATACCACAAACTGACATGAAGTGAATGACCAATTTTATCTGGGGGATTGCTGGCCAGATTACAATGAGAAACCCTTCTCTTTTCAATTAGTACCAATTAGCAACATCCAATGAATAGGCAGACAGGACCTCACCTTAATATTTCATCCAAAGGATGGCACCCTCTAATAATGAAAGGCACCATATAATACTTTATTGGAATATCGCCTAGACTGCGGGTTCCAAGTCCTAGTGTAGAGTTTGAACCCACAACCTTCTAACTCAGAGGTAAAAATGCTATCAACAGAGCCAGATTAACATCTGATTAGACAGGAAAGATGATCAAAAAATGTTCTATTTGAAAAAATAGTGAACTCTTGATAATAAGACACTGAATTCACATGGTTTAAATTATCATCATATGGTTATATCATAATGCTGTCAATATCCCAGCTGCTTCCTAAGACAAATGTGAATGAAGGTCACCCCCGCCCTTTATTTCATCCCTTGCTTATAACATTTTAAGTCATGGGATATAGTCACTGAGGCTCTTTCCCTTTGGAGTGATGAAATATCAAGAGTTTATAATGGCCATATGGACCACAACTTCAATTTATTGTATACACAAATTCAGTGTAACACAGATAAATTGTAAGTAAATCAAAGTTTAAAATGTTACTTGTCCCCAAATCAATATATAGTACGTTTACAATGACAAAGCAAAACCTCTCCTGTCAAAAATAAATGAGAACTACCTGTACTACTTAATGTGAAATCCATCAACCCAACATATGCTGCAGAAGGTGACATTATCCCTTGTAAATAAGTGAGTTTCATATTTTCTTTGAAATATTGTATATTCTTCAAAATTACCTTTCTTGTCTGGCTTCTCTTTCTTCTTCTTTTCTTCATCCAATGCTTTTTTATTTACCTTCTCAGTCGGGATGGCAGGTGCAGATAGTTTTGGTTGTGAAGAAACACATATTGCAGGACTGGCCTGCATTGGAGTTGCAGTTGGAAGTGGAATTTGTTTAACTAGAATTTAAACATATCATACATTAAAGGTAAGTTTGGGATGTATTTATATATTTAAAGATGCAGGTTAGTTGCATCCATACAAAAGGTCAAAAAGGTTCAAGATACCATAAAGGTCTTATCTGCTCCCACCTTAGGACATAGCCACAAAAAAATTAAATTAAACGTACTAATATAGTCTCTTACAAATATCACAGAAACAAGATGCTCAATGACAGAAGTGTAAAAACAAAAGTGTAAAAACACCATCCTTAGAAGTTCTTAAGATATAGAATAGGAGTAAAGTAATGAAAATAAAAGGTTGCATTAACCTCAAACCATTCATATGTCAGAAACTAAGAGCAAAACATTTGGTATATCTTAAAATATAAAATCTTTCTCTCACACCTCCTCCTTTGAGTTCTCTATTATCATCATATTCAGAAATATTTCTGCATCTAAGCCAGTATATCCTCAAATGAGAACCTGTTTGAAATATCTAAGAACCACATTCAATCTTTTAAGAAAAATAGCTGCACTGAACTTTGGCCCCAGAAACAAATAATGACAAGATAAATGCTAATAATTTTTTTTATTTCAAACTTTTTGATGTGCAACAATCTTTCCCTGCAAGCTCATTAAATACTCTTCTGGGGACACAAGGTACCCATCTATTTGCCAAATACCACTTTAATATGAAACACATGCATTTTGATGTGAACATTATAATTACAGTATGAGTGCCACAAACAATCACCTTGACTTTGCCAATGATTACATCATACAAAAGAATGCTTGAGGAAAGAAACATAAATGGAATGAGTATTAAAGATTGTCTGGATTCAATTAAAAAAGGTACAACTTTGTTCAAAGCAAAACAACTTTTTAAAAAAACGAAGTGAAAGAAATGGAAATACTGTTCTCAGCATTAAACAACAAGTTGCATTTATGTAGCTCCCTTCACACAGGTAGCATCTGACAAATATTATTTAAAAAATCACAAATAAAATCAAATGTGTCAGGATTGCAACAGTAAGCTTTAAAGCCCACTGCAATACTTGAATTCATAATGTGGACTGACACACACCAGCACAGTATTGGGGTGCATCATTGGACAAGCCACCCTTTGGATGAAATAATAAAAACTTTTTTTTTATTGAATTGACAAGACCAATAGATTATTATAGGAATATTATTCTGCATACACTGGTGTTAAAAGTTAACATTAACAATCAATCGCATTACACCCTTGAAGAAAAGCAGAAGTTCACCTGGTAACTTCCTCCCTCACCCAACTTTAAGAATTACATTGTATTTTTAGTAATCTTATTACTTTTTTGTGCAACGCAGTCAACATAGATTAGCTACTGCTTTTGTCCAAATAACTAGTTGCAACACTTTTAAGTAACTCATTGACAGGATCAATAGCACACTCAGAGGTTGTGGGTTCAAGCCCCTCGTTGGGACTTTGAAATTACAGCTAGCAGTCCAATGTAGTGCTGGGCAGCATTGTTATTCCATTTTATCATTTCCCAAAGGAAAGTAAAATATCGTATTTCAGTTAATGGCCTAAAGAAAACAAGGATGATAAAGATGCTATTGCTCAATTCTGTACTATTCCTTTTCATAGATTGGACTATATAAAGAGAGAAAAAACTCAGACAACGGAGAAGTAATAAAACATTTTTATTGCTAAAATCGCATGATCCTTTTTCTTCATCTGTTTTTGGTCTGATGTAAAATATTTTGGCTAACCTGTACAACATAAAACTTTAAAGAAATTTCAACTAAATTTACTGCAGATCTTACATTTCAGCAGACTGCTGATCCCCCTAGGTTCTGGAAAATACTAGTAACATTTCAACAGAATATTCCTTAATGGTTTAATTTAGCATATTTTATTACAAATAAAATTCTGATCTGGTTTTCGTTGCAACCAGCTGCAAACTCCATCAAATCACTCACGTTGCGGCCCAATCCATAGCTCACCAAAAATATATCCACATCAAAAAGTTTTAATGAAGAGATTCAGGTCTAATTTGAAGAATAGAACAAAACTGGGGTGAAGCAGTTGGATCCTGACCAGATGAAAAGCACCAGGCTTCAACGATACATGTTATGGAAATGAGTCCAAAGAAACCAGGTAATTCTGCTGCAACTGGTTTTACCCCAAAATATCAGGCAGTCCAGCAATTTAGAAACCTATAGACACTCCTTCCTCACAGAACTTTCTCTGTGAAAAAATGGAGACATTTCTATTTTCTTTGGAAATGAAATTCACTTAAAATTTGTAGCTAGCTATACAGTATCCAACATAAATCCAAAAAATCAGCAAAACTTGCTTTTATATAATGCCCTTCAAGTAGGATAACATCTTGGAGTATTCAGTCAGAGCTGAACTCCAAGCTTGGAAGGAGACAAGGTAGTCTAAGAGGCAGTTGCAAGGTGGGATTTGAAGATTTAGGTGGAGCAAAGAGATGGGATGGAGGCAGAAAGTTTGAGAGAAAGATAAAGAAGAGATAGAGAAGTGCTGGAGCATGAAGGAATTTATATTGAAGATTGGGTTAGTGGGAGCCTGGTGAGGATTGGGACAATGGATGTGCAGAGTTTGGGGAGGGTGGGAATGTGGGCAATGGAGTTTAGATGAGCTGGACCTTGTGAATGATGGAACCGGGGAGACAAGACAAGCAGCGCTTTTGAGAAATCAAGGCAGGACATCACAGAAGCACATTAAAAAGGTTTTGCTGGCACATGGTTTGTAGTCAGCTGAGGATTGAACTGGGTGCCAAGGTTGCACACTGGTTTGGTGAGTTAAAGGGATAGGCCTTTCTGTGTTTCAACAGGAAAGTGAGAGTCTTGAAGGAGTATGGAACCAAGTAAGTATGGTCCCATGGAGGTGGACTAGGGAGGATGGAATGGTCCAGTGTCAAAAGCAGTAGAAAATTCAAGGAGGATAAGGAAGCAAAGGGATCCACAGTCGCAGCTGTCTCCGTGCTGTGGGCGGGATGGAAACCAGACTGGAGGGGGAAGTGTGAGTGGGAAGCTGATGGTTGGTCACCAACAAGCTCTTTGTTAATCAGAATACAGATTTGCAATATAAAAGTTATGAACAAATTGTACGATTTTCTGGATGGTACAATAACCCTACCTCCATTACGGGCCTCTGCTTCTATGAGACTTTGTTTCAAGTCCTCAATTTCTTTCTTCAGTTTCACATTTTCAACCCGGAGTCGCTTCTCTTCTCTTTGAGAAGCCTGTAGGACTTAATTCAAAGATTAAGCATTAACACACCTGCATTTATATGGTTTAAACGTACAATATAATTTACATTTATGTTTCATGTCAGGAGGTTAGCACAAAACAGCACACTGGCAGTGTTAAAAGATGGCATTTATCTCCTACTTCCTGCTCCCCAACCTGCACCCTTTCCCAAGCTTTGAACTCTTTTTCTAACATAGCATAGCATTCTTTCCCAGACTCCGTGCCCCTTTCCAGATCCAGTCAAGGATTGTTACTGATTATTAATGTCATTTTAGTAATACATTATTCTGTTTTTTAAAGTGACGTCTAGAGTCAACTTTTTTATCAGTCTCACCAAATTTTCTCTTCTCTCCCTCCCCCTCCCTCTGAGATTATTTGTTTCCTTCTGCTGGGCTGTGGTCTCACTAGGGCCATTGTTCAATAATAATAACAATAATAATAAATTGGTCACTCAATCCACGACTGTTTGTGGGACACTACTGTGAGCAATTGGCTGCCGTGTTTCGCCAACAAAATAGTCAATTCACTTTACAGTAATAATAATAATAATCTTGCATTGATATAGCGCTTTTCACGTCGGAGGACGTCCAAGCGTTCACAGAAACACTGTAAAGTGAATTGACTGTATATTTGTGGCGAACGCGGCAGCCATTGGCACAGCAATGTCCACAAAGTCGTAGATTGAAATGACCAATTTATTATTGTTTTTGATTTGGAGGATTATTATTAGCGTGTGAGTAAGAAATGCCAAGTTCGCCTGTCTGGAATTGAACTCAGGTCTCTCGCTGCAAGCGAGTGCTCTAACCACTGAGCTACAGGACTCCTGTATAGACAGGACACAGTATATTCTGTGTAGCGTTTTGAGACATCGCAAACATGATAACAACTATATATATGCAATGATTATTATTGTTATTATTATTATTATTATAATAGATCCCCTTCTCTAAGAAGTACCATAGGCGTTTCACATTACAATAGGAAACAATTTGTTATTGTATACTTCATCTTCAAGCAGCCAAGCTTCCCAAATAATTTTTCATTCTGTCTATGGAAAAGGGCCACCCATACAATTGTGAAAACAGTTTGTGGCCATGGGATAAAAGCTCAATCCAATATCTCCAGTTGTGAAATTCTGCTAGTGCCAAATTATTTGGGAGATTAAATCCAGTATCCATAAAACAAAACAAACTCCTTGAAACAGTCCAGGAGAGAGTGGATTCCCTCTTGGCTGTTAAGACAGGATTGCCTGATCAGACTAATGAATGCACAAAACATGTTTGATCCCTTGTGCAGTATTTATAAGTAAACTACAGAATGCAACGATATAACTGGAAGATTTTAGCTCCAAAGCAACCACTTCTACAAAGATAATTTAAAGCTATCTGAAGTACTCATTTATGTACGATTTGTATTGGGTGTGGGAAGAGAAGAGCTTTTTTTTAAGCAACAAATACATTTCTAAATAAACTAACACAACATTGCAAACATACTTGCTTTCTCCTTCAGCAATGCCACCTGTTGCTTCAGGTATTCAATAACCTGGTCAGCCTCTGTAGCTCTCTGTTCCAGTCGGTTTAATAGAGCACGATCACTGGACATCTTAACTAGGTGACGAGCTAGAAACCTAAAAGAAAAAAAGGAGCAAATACTCACCAATGTTCATGTAAATACAATTTTAAATATTCAATAAAAATAATTTCTGAAAATAATCAAATTACATACATTACACTAATGGTAGGTGACAAATAAAAAAAAGTACTTTGCTTTCTAGTTTCATATCAAGAGGAAGGCAACCTTTAATTGACAATTTAAAAAATGTTTTATAATAATAATAATCCTTGCATTTGATACAGCGCTTTTCACGTCGGGAGGACGTCCCAAAGCGCTTCACAGAACACACTGTAAAGTGAATTGACTGTATATTTGTGGGCGAACGCGACAGCCTATCGTGCACAGCAATGTCCCACAAACAGTCGTAGATTGAAAATGACCAATTTATTATTGTTTTGGGTTTTGCAGGGATTATTATTAGGCTCTGTGTGGAGTAAGGAAACTTGCCCAAGGTTTCGCCCTCTGCCTGGAATTGAACTCAGGTCTCTCACTTGCAAAGCGAGTGCTCTAACCACTGAGCTTTATGCAACTACAGTAACATTATTCTGATTGCTGCACAGTGTTTCTGCAGATGTAGAAAAAGAGGTCTAGAAAAGCAAAGTAGTTGCAAATCTTGTATGAAACTTCAAAATATACAAATATAGATAGGAAGCATACCTTAATTTTAACCCTTTTCACTAAGGATGGCAAATTTTTTAAAAAAAACTCATAAGTAAGTGAGAAGCTTGTTTGGTCTCAAGTGCACATGGACTGCCTTGACTGTAATTTGAAAACTGTAGTATGGGTTGGGGAGAGTACAGAACAAGAAACCAGGTAATTCAGCCTGATAATATTGCTGCCTCCCACAAATAATGTACAGCTCATACCATTATGGACTTCACTCAAGCAATTTATTCGCTCGATGAAAGAAGATTTTCCTAGATATGCCTCTCCCAGAGTGAAGAAAGCAAAATTAACATTATTGATAGCAATTAAACTTGTTCTGTATAGTTATGGAAAATAGATCAAGATCCAAGTCTTTGAAATGCTGAGAGGTGCAGATGATTTTCATGAAAGCAAACTCTTTGATTTAGGCCACAAGATTAAAACTAAACAATAGTAGATAATAATAATAATCCTTGCAATTGATATAACGCCTTATCGCGTCTTTGAGACGTCTCAAAGCGCTTCACAGAATATACTATAAAGTGAATTGACTATATCTTTTGTGGGCGAGATATAATTTGCACACATCAAGCAACAGAGGTACAATTTTTAAATGTCACATTCATCTGCCAGGTTTTGAGGACCAACAGGGAGCTGTGTTGTGTGTGCTTTGAATCCTAAGGTTTCCAAGCGTTCAAGCAGATTTTTCTAAGAATCTTGAGGACATTAGATAATCAGGAATGGATTGTTTACCTGTAATATTCAGAAGACTTGCATTTCCCCAATAAGTGCTACCCAGCTGAGATGTTAAAACTAAGCTTGTATTACAAAGTTATCCATACAAGTATTTCTTCTCAAAATTAGAAAATGTAGGGAGTAAAAGTACTGTAGAATAAATGGAATGCAAAAGAGAACGTCTGCAGCTCTACAGAAGGAGCGCATAAGCTCTCAAAGCTGTGGCTAAAGTTAAACATTAGAAAGAAAAACTCCTCCCTCCCCATTTGATCTTTTCAATCTGCCATATTAACTCAACCCTTCAGCTGCATACCCGATTGATCACAATAGACTTTATAAATAAATGTACATGCTGCAGTCTGAACAGTAACAGGGAGCTACTCTCCTTTCACCAACAAAAAGGCATTATTTAAAGACATTCAGTGGGGGAAAAAAACTAAGATAGTTTATGGGCAGAATGGCCCGTTTCTGTGCATGTAACATAGAAATTAATTAAACAGTTTGAAGTCTTTTAGTCTAATTGTGTTGTTGGACTTTAAAGGAAAATTTTGTGAATGTGCTGAAATGACAATGAATCCCGGATCTGGTGTTTTGGCATTTTTTCCAACCTCTGTATTCAATTAGAAAAAGGGAATGATTGAATCAAGCACAACTCTGACCCCTGTGTAGCTAAGGCACTTGAGAAGCAGGTTGCATTTTATTTAAATAAAATATTTTTTCTTCATGTTCCTTACCCCCAATTCCAGATACCTTTTCTCAGCAGTTTGAATGGCAATGTGCTCCAAAATGATTTCAAACTCTGACACATGACCAGTAGAAAGTAGACCAGTAGAAACATTTTCTCTTCTTTCCCCTTCCCCCCCATATAAGTAGAAACTCAGAAGACTATCTTGTATTTTTAAAAGGAGTTCGAAAAAATAGTGGTTGAAGTTGATAGTCATATATAAAAATTATATAACACAAACAAAAACAGAGAGAGCTGGGAACACTCAGCAGGTCAGGCAGCATCTATGGAGAACGGAAAGTGAGTCAACGTTTCGGGTCCACGACCCTTCGTCAGAACGTGGACCAGAAACGTTGACTCACTTTCCTTTCTCCATAGATGCTGCTTGACCTGCTGAATTTTCCCAGCTCTCTCTGTTTTTGTTTCAGATTCCAGCATCTGCAGTATTTTGTGTTTTGTTCATAAAAATTATATTCTTTAGAAGAGTACAATTTCAGCCCTGTAGGAATGAGTCGTATGTGATGCACCTGTTCAACGTTAACATAACAGGGACTGACAGACTGGAGTTTTCGCTCCATTGCTTTTGGCATCAATAAGAACTTTCAGAATTTTATTTGCTTAAGAGTTTTACCCATGTTTATTTATATCCCTTGAGAAATTTCAAAAAATAGTCTGGGGAGATCGTTGATAGCACATTTTACAGTCTTGTGGAAAGGTGTAAATTCATTGAACTGAAACTGACTTTTCGCTGTATGCATTCTTATAGATAGATACTCCTACCAATGTCATCCACGGACTTTGTGAAAAATATACTCAAAGTGATCTGTTCCATGGGGTTAGGAAGAAAACCAACTCCCCCGAAAATGTATGTTAGAATTTATCCAGCTAAAATCATGCAACTTATCAATACAAACACTGGTAAGCTTCCCACTAATCAATCATCTCCAATCACATCAGTTGAGGGACAAGACTCTTGCCCCCAACAACATGCCGACTGCTTGAAGTTCCATTATTGCACTAGTTAAACTGATAATCATGACCAGTGTCTGAACCTTGCAATATCACATACGGTGAGCAACACAGCCTTACATAACATACAATTTGTGAGTACATCGCCACCATCCTCCAGAACACATTTATTAACAATATACTTGCATTTGATTTATATAAAATGCAAACTTGCATATACTTGCAATCTCAGTGATTAACAAGATTTACGATAAAGAAACATCTATATTTTGTAGACAAATGCAGCATCCAATTTGCAATGTTGCTCAAACAGCCATAATAATCCTTGCATTTGATATAGTGCTTTTCACATCTTCTAGTTGTCTCAAAGCGCCTCACAGAATATACTGTAAAGTGAATTGATTGTATATTTGTGGGCGAAACGCGGCAGCCAATTGCACACAGCAGTGTCCCACAAACAGACGTGGATTGAGTGACTAAATTATTATTTTTTTTTAAGGATTATTATTCCCGGAAAAGCGATCCGCCAATCAACTAACATTTGGGTTCCTTCTTACTGCTAGGTAAAAGGAGGCGTAAGAAAACTTGCCCAACATTTTGCCCTGCTGGAAATCAAACCCAGGTCTCTTGCTTGCGAGGCGAATGCTCTAACCACTGAGCTACAGGACTCACACCATGAAGTTAACAAAGAATTTTATCTGGAGGATTGTTGGCCAGGACATAATGTGCTAGACAATCTCCCCACCCTTCCTCTGCTGATCATAAACACAATGGCAATTCTTCTTTGTGCTTCTTAGTCTTGCTCTCTCTCCAATCTGTTGGTGGTGCCTCTGACTGCAACAGGAGGTTTGGCCTTTCTTTCTATCTCTAGTGATGATGCCCTGGTCGATCTTGTCTTCCTGCCATGGTTCTCAGATTGTCTCTGCTGTCTGCTGATTTGAACAAACGCACTCATTGCTACTGCCAGTAACCAATGGATTTGTGAAAAACATGTTGTTGACTACAATGTGCAATGAATATGCATATGCAAGTTTAATGATTCTTGGCATATCAATTTCACTTTCTTATCTCAACTTTGTTGTAGTTAGGGGTTGCAATCCTTGTGCTCTTTCTGAATCCAGGATTTCGGGCTTTTAATGGCACAAATCCTGGGATCCCAAGATGCTAAATCTTACATCATCCATGATGCCTGCAGTTGTTCTCTACATCAGCACCTTGAACTTAGGGTACCTCAGAGAGAACATCACTCAGCAGGGAGGGCACTCAGGTTTAGAGACCCGTCCTTCCTCTATCGCCAGCTTGTCCTTGCAGCGGTACGATTCCGGCAGAGCGAGGAAGCCTGCCTTCCCCTTCCGTCCGTGCTCAGTCTTTATACAATCCCGAAATACCTGTGATTCTCTTCAATAAACTCCGAGTCTTGGAGGGCACCAATACAAACGGAATCCAGATTCTCTGGATTGCAACCCCTAGTTGTATTTGAGCAGTCATGTAGATAACCACTGTGCCGAAATGAAGTGCTCTTCTGTAGCTGCTTTGGGATAACAACCAAATCCTGAATAGAAGAGCATATGCTCATTCATGAGCTCATAATTCAAGATGTTGCCCCAAGCTGCAGGGTTCTTTATTCGGTCACCTGATAAACCTCTGCCTTCGAGTGATGGAGAGACTGCGCTGATCACTTTACTAGCAACCTTGATGCTCGAGTTTCAAATGCTAAGCGGAATACAAGGCTTGCCGCACCTTATCCCAGATATTAGCCCAATTATTTTTGCATCTTCTGAAGCTACCCTCAATGAAGAACTTTATCTAGTTTAAGTCTTTTGGAACTAACTCTAGAAATATGAGACCATTAAAAGTTTTATCCAAGGTTCTCACACAGTACTGTTTTTGGAGAATAGATGGAATGAAAATGCTAATTATTTCTCAGTAAAGACAATGAA